AAGTTGTTCGTCTGTACAGCAGTACAACGATCGTCAAATTGATATACAATGTGCACAGAAAGTTATGTCTCAAATAAATTGTGTTGTAAAACTGGAGCAACAAATGCGAACGGAAGATGTAAAATATTTGGAATTATTGAACAGATTACGGAATGGGCAGTCGACAAGAGAAGATTATCAACTTCTTTGTTCACGCATTATTGGAAGTCCTAATTTAAAAATATCCCTACGACAAAACCCGTGGAACGAAGTATATTTTTAAAAGCGCTTCTAATTTTTCGTCTAATCGTATATTTTATAATAGGCTCCTATACTGGTCTTTCGCAACACTGTTCGAACTCAAATCAATAATCGAGCTGTTTTGAATAAGGCTATCGAATTGGGAGTCACGCCCATTGTATGTGTTGCACAAGATTATGTCAAGGGTGGTATAATTGATGATCCACGATTGCGCAAAGCAATTCTGGAACTTCCAGACAATAGAACAGAGCATCTTCCAGGTTATTTACCACTTGTACCGGGTATGCCTGTTTTGCTGACCGAAAATATTGCAACTGAATTGGGACTTTCCAATGGAACACGTGGTATATTTCGTCAGCTTGTCTATGAGGAATGTTTTCAGGATACTGAACTATATCAAAACAATTTTCCCGAACATACAAATTTTGTTTTACAACCAAAATATGCTTTGGTGGAATTTCCGAGCTGCAAGCTTGACTATGCGTTGTCTAAACTCGACCAAAAGATAATTCCTATCTGTCTTAGTGAACAAACTTTCCAATTTGATGCAAAAGAGCTTCTAACTGAAAGTACATCGAAAGCTGCAAAACTTACCAAACGGTCGACAAAGATTTCCATTAAACGTAAAGCGCTTCCTCTCGTACCAGCATACAGCATAACAACACATAAGAGTCAAGGTCAAACTCTTGGAAAAGTTATTATTGATCTCGTTGTACCACCTGGCCCAGTTGAAATCGCATCGACTTATGTTCCATTATCACGTGTTAAACGCTTGGAAGATTTATTAATTCTTCGTCCTTTTAAATATGAAACCCTGCAAGTACAACCATCGGCAGCACAACTTAACGAATTAAATAGGTTAGACACAATTGCTAAAGAAACGTTGAAACATTACAATGTTATTAAATGATTTCTTCGCACATTGACATTACATATCGGAATGACGTTTTATTAACAGTCGTGTATTCCTTACTTCGTTTATTCGTATATCATTTGTTTCAGCTTGACACGGTTCACTTTTTCTAAGACTACGTCTGTTTTTATAACCTAAAAAACGATATAAACCTCTGAACACGCTAGTGCATTGTGCACAAATTTATCTCATACAAAATTGAATATGTTCCAACGGCCTACAACAAGTCAAACTAAAAATAAAATAGAAAAAATATATCACCGAGAGATTGGAAGGGTTGTCTGCATAAACGAAATCTGTCTGTTTGACGTGAAACTTAGGTCTAGTTAGTTTTAGTGTATATTCGCCTCGAGATTGAAGCAAAAAGACAATGATTATAATTGTTGTAAAAATCAAAGCATTTATTTCTTGCAGTATAATATTCATTCAAAGTTTAACTGCAATGAAATATTGCCTCTGGTTTCGAAATTTTAATTCAATTCCGCAAGAAAAATAAAATCCCTAATTTTTCCAAGAAGAGAAATTTTCCTCTTTTGGGATTGTATAACCCCCCCCCCCCCCCCCCAAAAATAGAAGGCCACTCCCTATTACAAGGTCACTTTTGACCAAATTTTTTTGAACAACGCCCTGTAGGGGTACGGCGATTTTCCCATAGATTGACTTTGATTCGCAAAACCATAATAGAAGGCCAGTGGCCTTCTAATCTGGGAGGGGGGGCTTTACTGCCGAACTAAAGACTTTTCAGCTTCTAAATAAAGACTCAGCTACATACCCCAGTCGTGCTTCATTTTTAGTGATTAGTTCAAGTGATACACTAAGTTTGTTGTATACTTAGCACAATGATTAATAATCATCGATCATATTGGTGGAAATTCCACAAAAAATAGCTTGATTATTTTGTGTGAATGTCAACCTTCTAAATAATCTCCAACTTACTTGTTGACGACTGCAGTCAAAACTAGCCACTGTCAAAATACAGTATTTATTTTACTGCCCAGATATTTTTATATCTGTATATATCCGAGAGATATACGCAAGCTGTCGTATTGTTTATACAGCCTGTGTATGCACACTATAAGCTTCATAATATCAATTCCTTTCAGTAGAGGGTCAGCGATGTTGTCATCGCGTTACTTGTTGTTGTAACGGTAGTCGGTGTCGCTAAAACAAAAAAACGTTAATTTTTTATTGAATCAATTCATCAGAAAAGATCTCTATTAAAGGTTTTCCTCTGCTTTCAATTAAAATTATATCATGTTATATTTCTAGATATATATATATGTAAATATAAGATACTTTACCACATGTGTTTGTTGCTATGATAAACTTTTGAATTCTATTATTGTATTGATCAGTGACAACTAGGTTTCCATAACTATCAAAGCTAAGAGTTGTCGGATACCATAAGTTAGTCGGCGTGGTACCAGCAGCGGCTGAGCATCCAGCTATACATCGAAAACCGTTCACATCTGAACCTATAATACGATGGTTATTCGAATCTACTATGTAGAGATACCCATCAGCATCAAGAACAACCGAAGCGGGCCCATCAAGTACGATGGTATTTGCTGCTCCATTTCCTGCTAAAGTTATTCCACTTGATTGTCCTGATGAGAACTTTTGAATTCTATTGTTCTTGCTGTCGGACACATACAGATTAAGATAAACATCAACGTAGATTCCACGAGGATAATTAAGTGCAAATGACGTATTTCCCGAGATATTTGTACCAGCAACAATATCCCAAATGTTTGAAGAGTCATTTACTGATTTTGAGACAACTTGATGATTGACATACACCGAACAATAAAGGTAATTTCTGATGTCGACAAAGAGGCCCCAACAGCCTGCACATTCATACATTTCTGGCACACTGCCCGTTGAATTTGACGACCAATTGCCCACTTGATAATATGTTTGTCCACTATCGACATAGATATCGTAAGCATCTGTAACGAAGAGACTAGGTGAATAGTAGAAATTCTCAATGGATATATTTATTGGGAGTGCAAAATTTCCATTTTGCCCTACAATAATTGAATTATTTGTTCGAGTGGACACATAGATAGTGTTGTTTGTATCGACAAACGTCGCAAAAGGATATTGACCGATTGTGGTGCTATCCGCAACAGTTATAGCGGTTGAGTTCCACGATGCATTTGAACAAATTTTTGGCTGATTGTAGGAAATAGCTGACAAATGAAAGAAAATTATTAATAGTATTAGAAAAGTAATGATTCATATGTAGCTAACCATATTAGAGCACCATTCTTAGAGTATTACTGACGAAAAATCTGCAAAATCTTATGGGATTCCAGCTCTTCGATTCTAATCTGTCGGAGTAACAAGCAAAGCGTTCGACCATACAATACTCAAGGACTTTTAAGCGTCTATTACATACTGTTTATGAAGATCTATGAGACTGTATCTGTCATTTAAGAGAATCAGATGTATATCTTGTATAGAAATGGCACTTTATCTTTACTTTGTCACGTAAAGTAAAGAAAAGTAATATTTTAGGATTGGGTTTATTGTTGGTTGATCAACTCGTTATCATGTATCGATAAAGTTACCATATGTAAAAACTATTTGAAATTATTTCTCTACTAAGGATGAATGTGTTTGTCTCCTTCATCCATATTCATGCTTTCACCCACACATAAATTTCGTTTTTACATAGGTTTTCTCGTAAAGATAAATGTCTGGAAAAGTTAGTCACAAACAGTTTTAGACTTTTGTAAGTTTACACTGGAATTTTGTCAAACGCTTACCTGATATTTGTTTAATGGTTGATAAAAGCAGCCATGTGTTGAAAAAAACAATTCGTATCATTTTCATTATCTAAAATACAAGTCATTTTCATAATAATGAAGTAAAATATTTTGAATGCGTGAAGATAGTATGTCATTATTTCAAAACAATCCATTTAAAGAGAATAGAAAATGTTTAGTTTTATCTCTATGAAATATATGTAATCAAAACGTCTATAGTAAAATTTTATAGACATCAATAATTTGAATATATTAGCCTCCTTTCGATAGATCAGATGGAGATTAGCTTCTGTCAAGTAGGGTGAGTGTGAGTATCTTGCCATAATATGAAGTTGCCCTTGTGACAAGAGCTGATACAGTCGATTCAACTAATTCCGTGCTCTGCTTATCGATATCATCAGTATCTGTACTACTTCACTGTTGAGTCCGAAATGATTTGGTCAAAAATTTAAATTTAACAGAAATTCTCAAAACTTTATAAACGTTTATATATATTTATAAATCCGTCCGATTTATAAATCAGTTTTTGATTTATAAACAGATCCGGTGTTCGTGAGTTGTGCATCAGATGTTCAAAATCTAACGCAAAAATTAAAAACTTTGTGTAACAAAACTATTGTGAGAATTCTCTGCTATAACTTTACTCAGAATATCAGTTTTGTTTTTCTGCTACCTGTAACCATATAGAAGTTAGCTCACATTATAAACTGATTTCTAGTTTATAAATCAAAAACTGATTTATGAATAGACCAGATTTATAAATGTCCAGAATCTTTATAAATGCTTTAAATTGTCGACTCAAATTTACGATTTATAAATAACCCTATTTCGGACTCATCAATGTACTACTTCTTCTACATTTGTATACAATGAAGGAAAATCTACCCATGGACGCTAAAGGCTCCAACATGTATCTGTCAGTTTGGTGTTTCACGTAGGAACAAAATCTGACGTAGTGGTCATACTTCTAAGAAGCCATAATCTTGTCGGGTTCTTCAATGGAATGGCTGTGCTAGGTATATGAAGACCTGTACAGACAAGTGCACGAACAATACATCGGTTTTTCTAGGCACACAGTTGGTCTGAGTAGCTGCCGCAATACTGTTAGTCCTTCATTCTCAAACCGTTGAAAAAGAGCGTTTGCTCACTCTCTCTTTGTTTCTTCCACACCATCATACCACAAATCGAACTCGGATTATCAGATGGGAGAAGTAATTCCGCCTAGAAATACAATGGACAAGAATAGCCCACGGTTCCTCTCGAAAGAACTAGGAAACGTTTTGCCTCAGCTAGACCCCAAAGGGGTCAGGTTTTTCATCCCGATCCCAATCCCATCGGTATTATGATCGAAGTCAGGAACAAATAGGGCTATGGACAGCCCCGCCGGACTCTAGATTGCACGAATATTTAGATTTACTAGCATTGATATTTCAAAAGAGAAATAGATATAAATTCGTCTACTGTAACTAATGTAACATTTATTCGATCAGCTGTTAACCGTTCAAAGAAAACAAATAAACTAAGTCTTACACTTTTTTGCTCAGAGCTTGTAGTAAACTGTAAAATAAGTAAAGATAACTTTCTGTGATCAATAAAAATATTACATATCCCAGGAGGGACTGCACAGCCTATGCAGCAGACGTTAAATCTCTCACCCCACCTATAATCGCACTATATCCCATTTATTTCACATAATCACAAAATCTGTTGGTGCTTTCTTTTCATAATAATAAAATATGTATTAACCTAGTTTATTTCACAACTGAAATGTAAAAATAGTCATTAAAACCACAATGGACGTTCCGTAACGCAAACTAAGTCTAAATCTCGTTGCCTACAATTGTATTATCTTTGCATTTTTCACTAATCAGGAAGATGACAACACACTCTAGTATAGACCAATTTCCCCACTTCTTTACAGCTTTGATTTCTACTAAATCAAATAAATTGACTTACTTACTTCACTAGTATTACATTTTAACCGTTAAAAAAGCTGTGATATCCTACAGTAATTAAGATTGCCTACAAGAAAGAAAAGGACATTCTCGATCGTGTTCACTCAATTTGTATTACATTTTAACTGTAAAAAGGCTGTGATATTCTACAGTAATTAAGATTGCCTGAAGGAAGAAAAGGACATTCTCGATCGTGTTCACTCAATTTGTATTACATTTTAAGTGTAAAAAGGCTGTGATATTCTACAGTAATTAAGATTGCCTACAAGAAAGAAAATCAGAACTTTGCTGCTTGATAAGTATTGCATTTTAACCGTAACTAGGCTGTGATATTCTACAGTAATTAAGATTGCCTACAAGAAAGAAAATCAGAACTGTATTTAAGATCCTCTCCGACAAAAAGTTCACAAATTGTTTTAGAAGACCGCTCCGTAAAATTACTTGCATAAGTATTATGAAAAATTTACTCATACTGCTTTTCATTCTGAAATGCTTTTCTTTCCAATTTCCAATAATCTAATATCCACATGAAGCTAGTATTATATAACTAGTACTACGAAACGACAAAAATAGATAAAAGTCGTATGAAAATGAATCCCCGTTAGTAAAAATGAGTCTACCTGATGCAGAATCACAGCTTACATCGGTTGGATTCGTTTTTATGGGCAGAAATTCATTTTTACATTATGTTCTGTATTCTTGTTTACTTAAAATTTTAATCGCACATGTAGTCCTGGAGTGTACGATTTAAAACACAAGAACACTCATTCAAAGGTGGCCAACACGTGGAGACGAAACTATGTGGTCTTATATGTGTGTATTTTTACAATTTTGTCATCGTTTCACGAAATTTTTAAGTACTTAGTATTTTCTTGTGGTGAATGCCACATTATAATACTCCCCTATATTAGAAGACTGCCTTGTTTTAGACTACACACCAAGACATATTAGAAGTTTGCGGATCTTTTAATTTGCCGAGGGGTTTTGTGTATTCACTTTTTGAGTATACAAAAAATATATTCCCTATGCTAAAAACTAATTGTCAACTATAACTTACCTTTTTAAGTGTGATATATATCAGTTAGTATAAGTATTTCTATTTATCTGCAATACAAAATGTAAATTCAACATATTCTGTCAGATATTTTTCTTTTGTCACATTTCTGAAGATCATTGCATTTTCTACGGCGAAAATGCATTCAAGTTTTTTCATTGATAAACTAAATTGCTCTCTCTTTCTCTTTCTCTTTCTCTTCCTCTAATTTTTATTAGCCACTTGTAATTAAAAAAACATTCGATGCAATATTTCTTTTAAATAACAAGATAAGAAAAGATCTAGTTGTAGGATGACTAATTATGTAGAAGTAATTTTCATACATAGTTACACAGGTAAGTCTTTTCTCATTTTTCCTATTCGATTAATAATAGTATTGAAGATAGTTCCTGGAAAGCCTCTTGTATTTGATATATTGAACTAGCCGTTTCTTCTTTTCTATTGCATTATATTTATTCATAATCGCTATCATCAGATTGCTTTAAATTCACTTCCAACAAATATCATATAATCAAAATTTCTAATATTGTTGAAGATTATATCGTGAAAGTTTTATATCACGACTGATGCCATCCTGGAGTAATGACGGTTGTGAAAGCTAATGGCATAAAGTGCCGTTCAATCCACTGTATGTATTTTCTTTGTATCAAAAACGTTAAGACTGTATTCTTCATCTTTAACGACGGCAAAGCATGATAAAAACTGTTGTAATTAAATATTAACTTCAATTAAAGAAAAAGTCTTCTACTAAATTAGCTTTTTCAAACACTTTGTATTCCGCTTTTCCTCTCATATTTAAGATAGTGTAAAGTCGAACTATACGTTGCTTCAAATCAGAGGTAGGACGCAAGTACATGTGCTTGTACTTGTAGTAGAGTAATTTATACTAGGGGTGGATCATTTCCGTTAATTTGAAATTAGCGTCAACGGCAACCCGTTAACTGTTAACCGTTAATATTAACGTTAACGGTTGGTGTTAACGTTAATATTAACAATTAACGCGTTACACTTAACCGCTAATTTCCACTTAATTAAGTGATTAACGTATAAGAAACATCTTCTATTACTTCAGACGCAATTGTAGATCCATTCTGACTCCGCATCTATAGATTCATGAACGAAAACTCAAAGGTCCATGGTTAATATCGCACAACCGGAGTAAAAACACTGCCTCCTTGAAAGGAAATAAACAGCCAATGCAGATCTCTGAAGGTCAAAGAAACGTCCTTTTATAAGGCGTCCCTAGTCGATTTCCAGCGAAAATAAGCTTTTGAAAAAAAATCGCGGTCATCGCTGATTGCCCGAAATCGACCAATCCGAGCACAGACAGTGGTTTTTCGCCTATTTTCAAGGGAAAACCCCATGGTTACCTATACTAGAATGATAGACCGTACTCGATTACTCCAACATTGGCACAGGTAACCAAGGGGTTCTCTTTGAGAATAGCGAAGAAAATGGGCAAATGAATCCTGTAATCCCATTGGTCCATTTTTGTATCTCTTCGGAGGTTGAAATATAGGTATAAAGTACTCTACTAGAAGTACAAGTACAAGTACTTGTACGTGTACTTTGTGCACGTGTACTTGTCCTACCTCTGGGGTGGCGATAAAGATAAAATGCTTAGCCACATCTACACTCACACTCTTCTATATATGTGTGTTATACATTGATTTTAAGCAGAATTGAATAGGCTGTCATCTCCACACTTCTGATATGAGAACCCACAAATTCAGCTTTTATGAATACTTTCAAAGATTGTATCCTGCTGCATTAAATCAAGAAACTGTTTACGATTCGTTTTGATGCTTATGTATTTTATAAGGAAATCAAACTTTCCTGAGAAGAGAAAGTTTTGCAAAATTCGAAAGCTTCTTCTGGCAATGACTTTTTTAGATCTAGTGCTGACAGTTGTTTTAGAGAGACAATTCTTTATGCGCTATCCAATAGCCGGATCGCAGTTTTTGGAAAATATTCATAACGAATTAAATACGGCTTTTAGGAGGCGGATTCTTGTTAAAAACCGATATTTTAGTGGTTCCTGCATGAGTTAGTGCCTGATCCGAAGTAAAACTGAGTGTCAATGCTGAGGTAACTTGCGAGGGCTACAAAACTAGCATAGTTCAAAGTTGCCGGTACAATGTCAAAGTATATATGGGCGAATTTGCGTCGAAGGCCCCACAAGTAATTCACGATTAAGGCATAAGAAAAGAAGAATTTACATACAATATAAAGAAAAAACATAGTAGCTCAAGTCATGATGTCTCTAAGCCCATTTGTTTCAATTAGTCTGACAAAAAGTATTACAGTAAAACCAATCTACAGTGAACATCTGTGGGACTTTTCAAAATCGTTCACATTAGCAAGGTGATCATTTACGAGGGGTGTCATGCAAAATACAAGGGAACTTTAAAGTTGCGAAATCAACTATTCTGTTTTCAATAGTACAATTACGACTTAGTTAGTTTGAGTTGTTTTATTTATTCTCATGAAAAAAGTAGTCTCTTTGTGTTTTCCAAAACCCACACCGAGTCCAGTGAGTATTAGCTGCGAACATTATCCGAAGATATCGATTTGTATCTCCATAGTTTCAATTCAGAACACTGCATGCACTTATACATCAAGAGAAATGGCAACATATCCCCAAGCTTTCGATGTGAAAAATTAGTATGTCGATATCTTCGATAAAGTTTCTTTTTTCTTCTAAGGTGAGATTATAGTGACATGATGAGTTCAGTAAGATGCCAAACAAAAACGGCGACAGACATAACACAATATGATTAGTTTATTCGGATTTCAGTCGTCTATTTGATATAAATTAGTGGTCAGCTGTATTCTTTTCAGTCTAGTCAAAATATGATGAATAAATACTTCGGAGAAGAGAGATGACAGACGAGAAAATTCATCTTCTCCACTCTCCAGCTATTTCTCTATTGATCAGGATGCCATAACGAATCAATGATATAGGGGGAAAATGTCTGTCGATAGATGGCGCGAGACACAAATGTTCATATTAAAGAGGTTATAAACGCAGTTGGGACCGGGGAGTGTTCAGTATAACAGGTGGTCATTAAGGAGAGGTGTTCACTAAGAGGAGTTTTACTGTATTACAGATATTGTAGAGGAAAGAATTATAGGCGCACTCTCTGGATTTAGTCTTACATGATTCTCATCCGTTCAAAAACTACCAATAAAGACAGTGATAGTTGGTTCACAAGATTAATTATTATAAAAGATTGGTCCAACTTTTTCGGTTATTTTTCTAAATAGGATCGACAACCACAAGCACGCCATCAGCATCAACATCAACGTCAAGCACTACAACCACAAGTACGTCATCAACTTCACCATCAACCACAAGCACCTCGTCGACATCAACATCAACCACCAGTACCTCATCAACGTCAACATCAACATCAACCACAAGCACCTCGTCGACATCAACATCAACCACCAGTACCTCATCAACGTCAACATCAACCACAAGCACCTCGTCGACATCAACATCAACCACCAGTACCTCATCAACGTCAACATCAACATCGACAACAATATCACTATCAACAACACTAGCACCACGCGGTAAGTAATGTAATTAGATGGTTGTTATTTCTCTTAAAACTCTTTAAATCGAGTGCTATGAGGAAATCCTTATTTCATTCAATAACAATCGTTATTATCGTCGAGAAAAGAAATCATTAAACCGAAGGAGAAAAGAGATGGTATTGATTAGCTGCTTTTGCAACAGAAATACAAAGTGAGAAAGTATCGACTTTAGCAGAAATATAAGTTTTAAGCGTATTTTCTCATCTATATATAGCATAATGATACGTAATGCGTTCGTAAATAATCTTCAATATAACTTTGCTATACAAATTAGATAATAGATTTTCAATAATCAGCTAGAGAACCAAGAAATTGAGTGATAAGTGACATTTTAACTCGACACTTCTGATATATGGTCAGATAATAATACGTGTCAAAATTATTATCCGATGAACAGATATTAAATAGTTTACATCAAACATCTTTATATATGTCTCATATAGTTTTTCACCTAAAGAAATCTAAACTATAAATACGCATTTTTTGTCCTTTGGAAATGAACTGCAAGTGATCTAACGCATAAAATGAATAAAGACATGATTATTATTCCCTCGACTGAAAGGAGGGTCATACAAAAAAAAAGTTTGTTTGTCTGTCTGTTTGTGTCAGGGTCAAAGGTCAAAGGTCAAAAACACATTTTCTTAAAAATGGTCAAAACTTCATAACACATGGCTTTGGAGGAATGCTGAGGCTCGAGGTTGGCTGGAGGAGGGGTGAAGGGGCAGGGACGTGACAGAAATGAAGAAGACATTTCAACCGCGCTTGAGAGGAGCGCTACATAGAAGAGTTGATTACGAAAAAGTAAAAACACGCTCGGTTGACTGTCGCATACTAAAGGCCAGTAATCCAAAAATACATTCATTCACAAGTTACATACTGGAGAGTAATCTTAAATGCTGAGCTTCGATATATTGAGAGTTTTTGTAGGTCTTTAAGCCTTTTAATTAAGGAGATAACCTCAAATGTTCGGATGAGGATGATCTTATCCATGAGATGCTGATGGAATGCAATTACTTTTCGATACTTTGTAGTAGCACACGCGTAATTATATGATAGATAGGGACAGCTTTGGAGTGGCGAGTTGTGAGTGGCGCCCCTGTGGGGCGCCGACGAACAATGAGCTGCGCCTGGTAATCTAGCTAGTTACAAAAGTATCAACAATCCGACGCGTTCGAATGCGAAATATATACCGAGTCTCATCTGTTTTTACTGAAATTATCTTTCATTTAGAAAAAGGAGGACATGTTTAAAAGTGCAACTCCATAATAGTCATTTATAGCGAACTTCTGCTTTCCGTGAAGAGTAATTGTCAGTCAGGAATATCGAATAATTAAAAGGAACACAAGTGGTATTTTGGTTCTTTTGAAGACTATGAGACGAATGAAGATCAGTTTCTGGGACCCCTTCAAAAGTTATGTTTCTGTCTTTTTTTGCATAGAATGCATATAAGACTATTGTATTTTTAGTCAGTGGTTCAGTCGAGGGTATAGCGAGTCTGCCTCGACGAGCGTTACTAGTAAATTTTGCCTGTGTAAATATTGACCATTCGTGAATCTAGATAGATAAAAATCTAAACTATCGACAATAATTCTACTGATTTTAATAAAATATCGTTTTAATCTTAATTAAGGGGAAAAAGTCCAAATGAGGTATAAATGGTAGTCCTGATTTTCCAAATACATTACGCCTAACCAACATAGAATTTCCGTGAATTCGTTTTTCTTTTAGTTTTCTTCAAATTTGATTTGCTCTACACAGTTTAGCTTTTCGTAATATCGATAGCTTACTCGACATATTCTATCATTGAGAAAGGAAGATGAAAAATTCAGTTTAAAAAATATTGTAATATTCTTGGGTTCACTGTATTTAATTTAATTCTTTTCAAAGAATAATTATGTTGAATTTAGTTCAATTTCGGAACGTTCCTTCATTAGTTGTAGTGCGGCTTGTCCAAGCGTAACGGTGGAACATTTTGGCACGCCATTTTATCTATATCTCAACAACTACAAACGCTAGAGAATTTGTTCAAACACCACTCGATGCAGCTTGGTATACTCTATGTTCACCGCAAAAAGGAATAATTTCCATTACTCGCTCTAGTTTCTAAAACAATTATGAGAATTGAGTGTTTGTGTGTAGCTAAGTGTTGTATGAAATATCAGATTGATTAATCGTAGTGGGAGCTCAAAACGTGGCCGTGATCGGGGATACTACTCGCAAAAGTACGAAGCAACCCTAGTTGCCACCAAACTGGAATCCAAATAGTTCATTTTGTAGAGAATCGAATTCTGCATTGAATGGTATGTCCTCACGCATTTTTTTAGAAATTTTATTTGCTAAAAAACAAAAATACGATTTTTGAAAAGACGAAAATTAGATTCTGGATGGAAAAAAATTGGTTTTTGTACAAAACGGACACAGAATTCTTAAACAGCGTTAAAAACTGCATTTATTTGTCTAGTCAAACTCAGCCAGCTCGAAAATGTTTTTTTTTCAAAACTTGATTAGCGAACTGTCACTTTACGTAGACAGGCCGAACAACACACTAACGCCTATCAAAATATGATTTTGCAAGATGCCCTTTTATTTGTCTATTATTTTCATAAAAATGCTATGTTTTCCGTTTAGCCTGTTCAGAAAACGAGTGACAGATAGTTTTGTGTAGAAAGTAAATGTTGTATATGCATAGTTAAGTGAAAAATAAATTATAAAAGCTGTATCGTCTGTGAAAGTAAATAGGTTTTTTATATTATGCCGTAAAGATTAATTTGTCATGAGGTCCAACATTATCAGTATATAATTTCAATTGAAAAGAGGAACAGATGAAACGAATTAATATACTACCAGAAACAACGCAGTAAGTTGATTGTATTCATTGTTAAAATGAACTATACAATTATAAATGTGTTCTAGTATACCAGTCGTCAATCATAAACGACGCCGATTATGGATGATATTCAGTATTATTGTAGGTATATCAAGTTTGATCACAATCGTTATTATAACAAAAATCATTCTGAGAAAACAAAAAACGACAACAACAGAGTCAACTCTGATTTCGTTATTTACTATAACAACGACTTCAGCAATGACCGGTATGCATATATCTTTAAGAATAATTTTTAATCAAAACAACTATGCCGAAGGATGTCAGAAAATATTTCAATACACAACACCATGACTACTTCCAGTTAAATAATGAATAGATGATATAGTTTTTCATTACAGACATATTTATTTAAGAGCAGGAAAAGTTTTTTTTGCTTTACAATCTTAATCTTTTCACATACTTGCATTTTAGAGTTTCGTAGATTCAAACGAAATAATGAAACAATCTATGCTATATGGAATACAACTGCTAGTGGCAACAGTACACCATCTTTACCAGGAGAGGAAATAGGTACTTACTATCCCAGCGAACCGCCCGAAGCGGTATTTGATGGGAATTTAAATACAATATATACCAATCATGGTATTTGTAGTGCACATACTATTGAGTTATCAAAGTTGTGTGGCGTTAATACTGGTCTCTATTTTACTATGAATAGTAAACTGTTCGTCTTAAAGAGGTTTTACATAGCTGTAAGACGTCATTCTCTACAACGTGACCCACTGACAATCACGATCGAAGGTAGTAATAACAAAATATCTGACTTAGCTTTTGGATACAGTTGGACTTTGATCTATAATGGTGATTCAGGTCTCATGGAAAATCAATGGGAAGTTTCTCATTATGAAGAAATGGAAGTCAATAATTCGTCTCCATTTCGAAGCTATCGTTTTCTTGTTAGTTCAATAAGAGAAAAATCGACTTCTGTCTCTTATGCTGAATTCGTAATGATCGGGCAATACATAGATTAATGTAATAAAACATCTTCATCACCATATTAGCTTGTGTCTATGCTGCAATGCTTATTTGCTTTAGCTAGAGTTTCAACTTTGATTATGATTTAAGTCAATTGTCATTTCTGTCATGACTAACAATAAAAGCTTGTTCATTTATCGTTGTTTTCTTACTATTGAAATTTAAGAAACATAATAAACACAATCAGCAAGATGATGACGTCTGCTGTTGGTGAACATTACGGACAGCTGAGGGTGTGGGTGCGGGTGAGGGAGGAGATAAGATGGATGAGAGGTGAAAAAAAACGTTTTTTGGAGAAAAGACCATTTTTTACAAAAAAAAAGTATTTTTTTAGGCAAAGGACCGTTTTTTACACATTTGACCAAAACACTTTTTGGGTTGGGGAGCAGGAATCTAGTATTAGTTTTATTAATTGTTTTTATGGTTCACTTTTTTCAAGAGAGGATCATTTCTTATGAAAAGAAAACTGTTGTTTTTCAAAACTTGACCATATGGCTTTTGAGGTATAGAGGTACGAATCTAACGTCAGCTCTTTAAAGTTTTTTTACAGAATAAAATTATATACGCGATAAGGCATTGAAAATGTAATATCCGAAAGCACTCCTTCTACGAGAAAGAGCTAAGCGAGTCTGTTGACGAGCGTTACTTGTATTTTATAGGCGACTAATGCGTTCTTTTCTTCTATTTGATTTTTTATTTAGTGGACTAGAATATTTCATTATATATTCCAGTAGCAGATGTTCTGGTCAGAAAGTAAATGCTTTATACATCCTAATCGACTGAAAACATAATTACTACTTGTTCATTCGGCTATTTTTCGTAGAGTTTAAAAATTGAAATTTCAAGTTAAACGAAAAAGAGTAATTTATTATCATTCTAGACATACACAATATTGCGCCACAATTATTATTCCAACAACAATATTGCCTTAACGAGACGGAAAAGTATGACAACTGAGATTTCAGTACAAAAACATGACCACATCATTCAAAACAACAGTGCGAGCTGTAATGCCATCATTTATAATTGAAGGCAATAATCTACTACAGATTTCAGCGAAAACAAGCATACTAATTTATTTAAATCATATACTTGCAACTATCCAGTCAGACTTAAAATGTAAAAATGAGAATTTAAATGCATTGCTGTCTACATATACATAATTTTCAACGTTAATATATATAATACATATATATAAAGAATTTTCATCATGAATTATAATCATTTTGACTATCATAAGACAGCATAATCAAATATTATATTTACCCATAAGGTAGTAGTAAAGTGTTGCCTTTATCCTCGATTCTAACTATTGTTTGATCAACACTTCCAGGAAAAAACTCTTTTAATCTTACTTTATTTTTCAAGCAAGCAAGCAAACAATTTATCCTTACAAGCGGTGATTTACCCAGCGGGAGGGGAGGGGGGCACGAGGACATTTGTCCTCTCGGAGCTCGCGTTTGCCCCCCCCCCCTCCCTCCCGGAGCAAAAAAACTGTCAAAATTTTAAAAAGTGTGCTATTTTCTAGAAACAATCTTTGTGAGAGATTTTCGAAGAAGTTTGCTGTTTTATATAATATTTTTCAGACAAAATAAACTTCTCTTCTGACATTATTTAATCATTATTTGTTAGAAGCTTCTAGTGTTTTCTGTATTCCTAATGTCAATGAGCTAAATTATCGGAATTTCGTAATTTTTCACCTGTGAATGGCGAGTTCAATTAATTAGATGATCACTTATATAATAAACGATGTTACACATACAAAGAATTGTATGTGTGTAATTTAATTAACAATTGCATTGGAAGATATTCTGATATGTATATTTGATTAATCGATTAGTCCAACGTTTCATCCGAAATCGAGATGTTCTTTCGAATATTATCATTCACAATATAAGTATTATATTGATATATTTCTTTGTTTTTCTTGTCGCTAGTTGGTAGCAAGTTTTTTCTCACGTATTAATTTCTTATTTATTTCTTTTTCGCCTATTTTGCGCGCATCTTTTAAATAAATGAAATGAAAAATTGATTCTTACGTAATTAACAAATTATATCTTATAGAAGTATACATATGAATGTTATATAATAGATAATATTCAGGTAATGTCTCCTGTGAAAATGTTTTTCTACCTTCCCGAAAGTTGATTTTGGCCCCTTGGAGCAAAAAACGTGGATAACACACTGCTTACAAGACTGCTATTCTTTATAATGAAGAGAACATTAATTTTCTGCTGATACATCTGGCACGACAACTATTTGTGTTCTTCTATAATATACTCGATACATAATATCAATAATAAATGGAATTAAAAGACTTAATACTATTGTTAAACATCCATATATATCAGGCATAGTTGTTATAATATGTAAAATATGAAAATCTTCTATAAATGAATAACTACAATCTGTTGCATGACATTTTTTCGAATAGTTTAGATGAGAATAATTTATATTCCATTCATCAACAAATAATCGATCAATCATATGTTGAACTGTTTCATTCATACCATATTTAGGTTTCAATTGTAAAACTTTCACGTCGATCTTTTCTAAACTTTGTCCTATACTAGATAAAATCAAATCTAGACATGTTTTATTGTATAAGCATTCCAGGGAAGAATGTAACAAAGCTTCAACTGGATAACAACCACCCATGTAACTCTGAAACGCAAAAAAAACGCGTTTGGACGCGTTTGGTGTTTCACATAGTGTAGTGCCGCGTCTAGACGCATCCTATGAACGCGTCCGAACGCGATAGAATTATCAAACGTGGTCAGACGCATCCTATACACGCATCTGAACGCGGTAGAACCTAAGAACCGCGGCCAGACACATTCTATAAACGCGCCCGAACGCGATACAACTAATAAATGCGCCTAGACGCATCCTATAAACGCATCCGAACGCGATAGAATTAAGAAACGCGTCTAGACGCATCCTATAAGCGCGTCTGAACGCAATAGATCCTAAGAAACGCGGCCAGGCGCATCATATAAACGCGTCCAGACGCGTTTATGTGCGTTTTCGGCAATTGATGCGTTCAAACGCGTCTGAAATGACAAACTCTTCCATTCGAATCATTGAAAATGCATTTTCCACAGTACCTTCTTTTAAAAACTTCGATGATTTCCTGTACTAAATTGTATCTTTTTGTGTGAAACCTCTTAGCCTGTTCGTTCCATATGACTTTCCGTCAACTGTTCTCATTGTAACTCATGAAAAGAACTTAAAGGTTTTCAATTGAAAAACAGAACCATTAATATAAGTAAAGAGATAATGGAAAATAACAGCTCACCAAAAGCATGAACAAAATCTGCTGCCATCGCTAAGACTCGCTCATTAGGTTCATCAGGCATAGAGATAAGCAATATTTTATTCACCAAAGCCGTGCTGAGGATCAAAATTATTAACAATTCATATTGAAATAATTCCTCACTCAACAAGCAAAGATTTCACTAGGACATCGCATTATTCTTCTTAAATGAGAATAGGAACAAAGTTGATTTATCTTTGCGATTCAATAGAAAAAAATCTGAGTTTTGTCGTTAGAAAAATATCTAAAGTGCGAATTATTAATTAATATTCAGATATATTCATGACTTTTTTGTAAGATTCGTTTCATTTGAGATAAGTCCTAGACGAATTATCTTCTTAAAAGGGAAATCTAACTTGTTCTTATATAAGCCAGTATAGTGCAATGGCCTAAGTAAGTAGACTTGTAATTGAAAGGTCTTATGTTCTAGTCTCACTCGTCGAACCATCTAAATGTATGTATAAAAATTGAATAGATGTCCTAGTCGAAGCGTGGTGGAAGAGATGAACATCAGGAGAGAATGATGGTGACGCAGGTCAAAGCTGTAGGAATAGAATGCTTTTTTGGAAAAAGCCATCTCTTGGAACGCGTCTGGACGCGTTTTGAAAAACAAACGCGTTTATGCCGTCAGATGTTTCATCGTCTCTTCGGACGTGTGTGGACGCGTTTTGAGAGAGAGACGCGGTTGAACGCATCTGAAAGACGCGTCTGGATGCGTTTGATTAACGCATCTAGATGCATCAAATGTTTCATTTCCATCGCGTTTGGTGCGTTTGTGCCTTGCGTTTGAAACGCATCCCAAACGCGTTTTAAACGCGTTTACACTCAAAAAAATTTCACATGGGCAATAAATAAACCGCCAATAGGTACATGATTAAGTATTACTGCTTCTAAACAGTCTAATGAAGTTGCACATGTACAGGAGTTGTTATTATATGTCATTGGTTTTGTATAAAATAAGAATTCGGAATTTATCTCCAGAAGATTATATTGCCAATTTGTTTGATAAGTTGACATAAAAGCATTTCCGTGAAGAATTTCACGAGTCATTTCAAATATTTGTTTGAATGTTTGTTGTGTTGACTTTTGAAATAAATCCACAATTAAATTAATTCTGTTTTCAAACATATCTTTTGAAATCAATTGATTATTAATCCATGTTATTGAATAAAATTCTAATAACTTTGATTTTACTGTTTCGTCTATTAATAGATATAATGTTTTAAGAGCTTGAAATTGAAATGATATTGTTGCATGAAAATTTCGATCATTTACCTTATGTTTCACAAATAAATAATCAATCCATTTTTGACTAATAAAATCTGATGAACAAACTTCATGATAAATTGGTTTAAATTTAATAAATTCTTCATATTTTATCGATATTTCACTACATGGACAAATTAAAGTATCTGGATACTGAATATATAATTGTTGGTATTGAGTTAAACTTGTTAATGGAAGTGTAACACTAATTATTTTCTTATGTAATGATACATATATGATGTATGTCAATAAAACCACAGTAAAAATAATTAAATATACACGTGTACTCAAGATTTGTTTTCTTATCGAATGTTGATTATTTGATTGAGTTCGAAATATATTCAATTGAAATAATTTATTTTCACATATTTGAAAAGCATAATAGAATCGATTGAATCTTATTGTCGTAACTTAAATGAAAAGCAAAAGAAATTCTATAGATCATATTTCAAAAACAAATACAAAAATTCAATATTTTTCTGCATTAATCATATGATTTTTGTCTTACGAGCAAATCTCATCAAGTAATACGCTTTATTTGAACTCATATATTGCTCACCGATACGGTTCATAATCGAATAGATAAAGGTGCTCAAAGAATCCATGCCATTAGATTCTTTTATCTAAAGACAAGATTAATGAACAAAGTATGAGTTCAAATGAAAGATATCACTTGACGAGTTTCCTTAAAATTGATAACTATCGCTTTCTCTAAGATTCCATACAAATCTATACCTCTTTCTTGTCGTTGTCTTTTTCTTCTAATTAAACGAACAATATTTGGTATTAAAAGTCGCATAATAATCGTTAATCCTCCATATACACGAATTAATTTCGTTAATATGTATAAAAAAACCGGTTTTTGTTCAATTTTATATGAACAAAATGATGGTTTACAAGAATTATAATATTTATCATACTTATAAAAATCATTCCATTTTTCAATAAATAAATGATCAATTAATGTTTCAATAGTTACATTGGTTTCATATTGACTTTCTTCATCAATATATAGTGAATATAATTGTTCATAAAGTTGCGTATTTGGATTCATATAATTCTTGATTATATCTAAACATTTTTCATCATAAAAGCATGTCGTTCTTGATAATAGCAATGAATCTACTAAATAGCAACTAGTAAAAAGATTTGGTATATCCTTTTTAGTGTTATTACGGCAGAAACGCATTGTTTCACGACATGTTGAATCAGTTGCACATAAACAATCATCACGTTCTTTCGGGAAATATTTGATTGTATTAATATCATCAAATGAAATATTATAAATATTTGATTCTAATTGAGACATTAATTGATTATCAAAAATAACATTTTGAATGATATTTAACTTTATTTCGAAGGATTTTTGTATTTGAATTTTGAAATTTCTAATCAATGATGTTATTTCGCTACTAAGTTGATTTTCTGAAACAGCTACAGACGTTACATATTGTTCATGATAGAATTGTTTTAATTCATCGGATACTGTTTCTTGTGCCGATTGACAATATGTTGATAAAAGGAAAAAATAATGATGTGCTTCGTTATAAAAATCCGAAGAAGCACATGGCTCCATTTTTCGCCAGATCACCCACCACTTGCTCCATAAGGATGAAACAAATACACTTGTACATATTTGATGGTAAGTTGGGTGAAATTGAATAAATTTCGAATATTCAGTCGAAATTTGTGTACATGGACATTGAAGATGATAAAAGGAATTTCGTTGTAATTCTTTAAATTGAATCTGTGTTGGTTTATCAATAAGTACATTTTTCATTTGTCCTTCAGACAATATATAAAAAGTAAAACTAATTAGAGAAATGAGTAATACGAATATATAAATTCTTGTTGATAAAATTTCATTTCTTTGTTTATGTTCATCTGTTGAGTAACTATCGAATATATTCAGATTTCTAATGAAAATAATAATCTTTTGTAATGAAGTTAATACACGAATTCTTATTGAAACTGAAAAGGAAAGAAAATTCGAATCATCTTCAGTTTATGATCGACATAGATCAAAAGTCGTCATGATGTACTTACTTGGCGCAATACCATTGTTAGTATCTATTGAATGTTGTTGCTTTTTCTTTCGAATAAATGTAATAAGATTTAATATAATAAATGGAAGAATTAATTTCAATCCGCCAAATAAACTAATAGTTGTTGTTAAAATATAAATAAAACTATTTCTTCGTTCGTCTATATACTGGCAAGACAATGGTTGACAATAATTAAAATATTTCTCATATGATTTGACAACATTCCACTGTTTTATAAATAAACTTTTAGTTAATTCTTCAATTTTCTTGTATTTTGTTGATAGATCTTGTTTTAATATCGAAAAATTATTCATAAAAACTGATGAATGACTGACATAAAAGGTTATTTGATCTAAACATGATTGTTGAAATAAACATTCCAATGTCGAATGCATCAAGGATTCTATTGGCGAACAACTTGCAAACATTCCTGGTATTAATAAATGAGGAAAAATATGCGAGTAATCTATATCATTTGTAAATGAATTACAGTCCGAATAATTATATTGATTTATATGATCATAAATGCCTTCGTCTATTATGATATTTTCATCGTTACAAAAACATTCAAACCATGCCATTTTTCCGTTTCTTGAATCAAAATAACAAATAGTTTTCCAATATGGACTTGCACTATGCCCTTTCTCAAATTTTTGAATAAAACGCGTTTCAATTCCTGTAACTAAAACATTTACACATATTGTTTGTCGAATTAGTTTGATTGAATTTTCAAATAAAGAAATTGTTTTTTGTTGAAAGGATTTGATAGAATAATTGACTTGAGTATAAAATTCATTGGAGGAAATAGGTTGATTTGAAATAAAATAATTCGAATAAAATTCTTCTAGTTTATGATCAATTATTTGTTTTGATTGTTTACATAATGTTCGAAGAAGTTGAAATTTAAACGATCCACTACGACGAAAATCAAGTGGATGATAATAACCAATGTTTTCATTAAAAAGATAATCAATCCATTTTTGTTTGACAAAATCCGACGAACATATTTCATTATATTCAACTTCAATAGTAATAAATTGTTTATATGGAATAGACAAATCTTGACATGGGCATTTTAAATCGATGGGATATTTCAATTGATATTTTTCATATTGTTCTTGGCTTGGTTTATATATTGTTGAAATACTTGTTTGAGTTGATAATGATGCATATAAAATATACAATGATAAGATGATCATACAAATAATTATGTAGATTCTTGTAGATAGAAGTTCATTTCTTTTCATAAATTCATCATTTCTTTCACTTTCGAATACATTCAATTTCGATAGATATTGATAAATGTTTCTCATTTGGAAAATGATGATTGTATTTTTTCACAATCGTATAAAATAGGAGATGAAGGACACAGTCGAGAAATGTTATTTTATTGTTTTTATTTATGCAATATGTTGAAAAATAAAATGTATGTAACATAACGGAAATAAGTCAGGAAAACACTGATGACTGAATCAGACATATCCAAATAAAAATATTTCCTAATGAAAATAGTTACATACGAGTATTTAAAAAGCACTCACGCTAGAAAAGGCTGTCCGAATATAGTCATACTGAATATACATGTTAGAAAATAAAAGATGAACAAAAGCTTTTTAAAACAAATTTACTTTGGCTTTTGTGTAAATTTTATTTCGTTCACTCATTGAATTTACTTGATTAATCTTATCCAGATATAATAATATTTCGTAAAAAAACACCTGGTAGAAAAATCTATTTTCCTATATTTGAAGTGAAAATTTTGTTGAAAAACAACAGACATACATAGATAAATATTAAATTCTACACGTTTTATCTCTTTCTTTCTTTATAGAGGTTAATGTCTTGTTGCTTGGAGATTTGGATAGAAAATTCATTTTCCAATTATATCCTCGTATCTAATCGCATCATACCAGCGACCGATGGTACTGTAAAATTTTAGTATCGTCTCGTACCGTATACCGCTACCGCATAAGATCAAAGTTTCTAATTTTTTTTCAAAGATACTATACTATATGTTATTTTACGTAGAGATAGCTTTTTAACAGTATCTCAACCAAAGAAGTATGCATAAAACCATAAATAAATGAGGAAAAACAATTTCATATATGCCATTGTTAAAATATAGTATACATGAATCACCATCAATAAACATCAATGAAATGAATAGAAAATCGTAAGAAAATAACATTATCCAGTTGTGCAGGTTTAACATTTGCTCGACGTTGATGAACAATATGACTACGTTAGCTGCACTAAACGATCTTTCTATACATGCAGATGTAGCTGGTATGCAAAAGATTTGACGAGCAACTTTTGATAAAAATGGAAATTCTATTTGATGACTCTTCCAAAATTTAAGTGGACTTTCGCGTAGATTAATAATATTAATGAATTGGTTCAAATGAGAACATTTCTCTCAGTAAATGCAACAATCAAAGACGAAAATATCCAAGACCTTTACGAAAAGAAAAACATCTGACATAATTTTCTCAATACGAAATATTTATTTTCTTCGAAGAAACTCGTTTTTTCAAATAGCTTTTATTTTAAACAGTGGTTGAAATAAAAAGCAAATCCAGTGGTTTACCTTCATCTGCATACATCGAATTCGAACCATTGAAATCTGATTCAGATAAGTTTTCTTGTGAAGAATAAGGCTCGTTTTTCTTTTCATATTCCAACAAAGAATCAAATGATCAAAGTACCGATTGATCACCACCAACACCAATAACGACGAAATGAAGAGAAGGTATCGAGATGAAGTTTGAACGGTAATAGAAGTCGAATCAAGCTTTGTATAACTTCACGTTCAATCGCAAGAACTTTCTTGATTAAAAAAAATGAACGATCAGTAGATTCCAAAAGATTGATGGAAGACAACAAACGAACACGAGTCTATTGCTTTACACTCACACGACCGTTTTCTTTCATTTCTTGGTTCAATGTAGACTATAACGAAACAAACAAACAATACTTTTGCAAGAGACATCTACTTTTTATCGAACATTTCTCTATAAAATAATCTCCGGTATTGTCTGTATTACAGACACATTCTTACGAATATTTAACTCACTATAGTTAAACAGTATCTGTGTTCGTGCTGGATTATATACAGATGAAAACTTGCATGTTTCACGTAACGTCCGAGTTTTTTTTTCATTCAATTATATTTTGAAGAACATGAAGAGCTTTTCGTGAAATATCGGTTGATAAAGCTATGTCCATTAAAGTTTCAATATTACTATCATCGTCACTAATAGTATTATCCATATGATCTTCTTTTTTTCCTCTTCTTCTCATCAATGAAGAAACAGCTTTTTACAATATTGTCTAAACGGTGAGCCGCACATGAATAAGCTTTAAAACATTTTAATGTTTTGACAAAATTCGTACCTCGATCCGAAACAAATGTTATGTCACTAACATGAATGATTTCGAATCCATTCAAGGCCTTTTCCATTTCCTATTTTAGAAATATTCGTTATCATCATTGGCAAAGGAAGCAGGTATACCTAGATATGAACATTGTTGATTGTCATCAGTCCATAAGTCTGGTGATACACAAAGTGAACCAATTTTTGACGGAAGAAGCTAACAGTTTCCTCAATTGAGCTCGTTCATGATCAGTTAATTCATGAATATGTGAAGAAATTGTATGAGATGAACGAATAATCTGATTTACATCGATATTACCATATTGAGTCTCTAAATAACAGAAAAATTCGATATGTTTAAAAGAAGAAAAAGAAATTGAAGAATTTAATGAAAACATAGAATTACCAATAGATGCACAACGTTGTGCAACTTCAAGAAAAAGAGAATCAGGTGGTCGAACTGTTTTTGGGTGACCATATGCAGTTATCAAATTTTGAGACTAAGACGAAGCATGAGCCTACGATAAAGTTGGTTTTGATTTGTGAACAGCAGATTCACAGCGGTGTTTATTGAGAAAAGTGGTGCTATTCGAATTATAAGAATAAGTAATAAAGTATTGTTTACATGAAAGAAAGTTTTTTAAAATCTTTTGTAGAACACTATTCGCATCGAGTTTTGCAGGAAAACCAAATAAACGCCCGCAGCTAGTAGATGAATTGTTACTTGTTGAAAATGTTCTTGCTGATAATGATGATGATGATTTACAAACATATAAATCTAATCTATTAGAATCCATTTCGATTACAAATCAGCTCTCAATGAATAGCAGTGAAATGTAAGAATAAGAACTGAAAAGAACAGATCGATCAAAAGAGAAAGAGAATTAGTTTTCTCTGTTTTATTCGATTCTTTTCAGTAGAGACACAAGAGAGCGGTATAGCCCTTTCATACCGCGTACCGTCAGTCTCTGTTTCATGTTACAGATCCATCGAAACAATTTGTGACGAAAAAGCTACATATTCAGCTGAATGGAGTACCACTAGGTGCGACGAAATGACTGAAATTTTAACATTCTCACGTATTTCAATTTACTAATAAAATTCTAATAACGTTTAATCAAAACATTGTTGAAGAACATCTTAATGTCATGCAGAATACAATTCTTATTCACCATTGACTATACATATAAGCAATAAAGAATATACCTTCTTCTTTTGACTCTTGACTTTTCAGTCGATTATAAATTGGGCAGAAATAAATATCGCACAAAGTTTCTTCCCTTTTACATAAACCTTACTTATAATATTTTCATTTATTAATTATTTTACGGACTTTACCACAAAAGCCATTACGGCAAAATTCATACTGAATAAAAGTAGTGTGTAAGAGTTATACAAAAATAAACTTAGCTAAGATTAAGTTTAGTTCTCGCTTTATGAATACTTTCTTCTAAAACTAAAATACGTGAATGATATGGTGGTAATGATTGTAAGTAAATATCACGAGCTTTGAGAAAATATTCTGCTGCTTTTTCGTAGTTTTTAATATTATGATAATTCGAACCCATAGTTTCATAGGTAATTCCAAAATTATAATGATTATTTGGAAGATACTGTCGATCAACTGCAAGTGCTTTTTCGTTAAATTCAAGAGCTAAATTAAATTTATTTTGTTCGTAATATATGTTAGCCATCGTACGATATACATCAGATATTTCGGAATTATTTAAAGGTAGAAGAATATCGAGTGCTTTTTGTTCATATAACAATGCTAAATGAAGATCTTTTTTGAAAAAATAAACTTCTCCAATTTTTGAATAATCTAATGCATTATCTTCTGGTTCATTATCTTCCGATAAGATTTCAATTGCTTTTTGAAAATTTTCTAAAGCTTCATCATAATTCTGTAATGCTATATGAATAGCACCAAGTCCTCGATAGCATTGTCTTCTATCAAAATCATCAATTGATGATTCTAATAATATCTCTTGAAAATAATCAATGGCTTTTTCATATTCTCCTTGATTGTATAATAACCATCCAAGTGATCCAATACCTGCATCAATTTCATCCTTCATTTGTTCCATTAATTCTTTTAATTCATATTGATTTTCACTACAAAGAGAAAGAATACCAATCCATATTTGTTCATTTTCATCATATTCTATTTGATCTATTTTAAAAATCGATCCTAAATTGATTAATACTTCATCTTCTTCAGGAAAATAAGAAAGATTTTTAATGTTAGCATATGCTTTTGTATTACTCATATGTTTATTAATATTAAATTGAAATAATATAACTTCGGAATCAATTGAAGGATGTGCATTTGCTTGTGCAAAGAAAAGACCCGTTTGTCGATCAATACTTGTACTTAAAAAACTTTGCATAGATATGAATTGTCCAATATTTTGTTTTATATAACGCAGTTCATCAACAGATATACTTTGTCCACGATATACTTGTAGAATAGAATCATCGTCATTGTTTACCGATTTTTCATGTTCATATTTTACTTGTTGATATAGATCATTGATAAAGAAACGAAATGCTAGAAGAACTTCATAGTTCGACTCTCTCAATGCTTTGTTAAGTGTGTCATAAACAAAAGTTGGACGAGTATACCACCAAATTGCTTGATCGGATTGATAATTATTCTCGAATTCTTCGATTAGTCTTTCTATAGGTTTATCATTTTGATATATTTTTTTAAAATGATCCATTAATTCTTGTTTTGCTTTGCTATTTTGGTCCTTAGATAATCTAAGTAAAACATCAATCAATAATTGAAAATACATGAAAAGAGCATTTTTTGAATCTCTTTCTTCTGATGTATTTTTTGTACTAAAAACATTAATTACAGCTGCATTAGAATCAGTTTGTTCATGTCTTCGTCGATCTATTACGACTGCTGTGATTATATCATTGAAATGTTCATATACTCCTTTGATCTAATAGAATGAATAAAGTAAACCAATGTGATCATTTTATTGAAAAATTACTTTTTTATTTTCTTTTGTCCACTCTTCTTTGATCGTCTTATCGACTTTGTAAATATAAATAGACTTCAACTGAGGAAAGTCATTTATAAAAGGAATAATCATACATCCAATTGTGTCTTCAATTATAAATATCACTTTTTCATCCATTAAATCACTTAAATAATCGATACATTCGTCTAAATCATCAAAAATTTTGAAATAACTAATAACTCGTTTTAACTTCCTTTGTATTTCAAAATTATCATTCTTAATATCAAAATTTTTTCTCAACCAGATCATTGTGTAACTCTCTGAATCATTTGTCACATTTTTAAATCGTCGAATAGGTTCTGTAACGATCGTTTCGAATGCATCACTACACGCATTAGCCATATTTAAAATGAATATATTACTCAAAGAAAATAAACAGTCGTATTTTTACGCATCATTAAAGCGACTATTTCCTATGATGATATGAATCATTATTTAATATTTCTTTTTGCTTAGGAATAAGAAAATGAAGGGGAGAATATTGCATCTTTCTTTTTTCTTTTTGTAAATAAGAATCGTTTTTAGTTCTCTAACTAAATACATTGATAGATCGGTCGTCATAATTGCAAAAATAGAATGTATTATGTGGTATTTATCGTAAATTTCAAAAGAAAGACTTCAATGTTAATTTTTTTCTCACCGCCATCGGCCGATTTCCCCATTTTGACGATGTTTTAGATGTCTAAATAACAGAATAAAATATAATTTGAATGTTCTAGAAATATGATGAAAAGATTATTGGAACTGTAAGAGATACAAGACCAACAGTATTATAAGATAGATTATCTTTAGTCAATTGAAAGTCATCAGTAATTGTGCTTAATCCAATTGATGAGTAAATAAATTGTACAGAAAGAAGACTTACCGTTAAAGTAAATACAATACATTGCACGAACGTCATTTGAATATAAATAAAAATACCATTCTGTACGTTTAAAAATTACAATTCTTAAGTGAAATTAAAAGAGATCGATTTCAATTTGCATGTCCGAGTGGTATCATATATATCCAATTTCGAAGATGCAAACCTTTCGCACCCAGATCCTCACGTTTCTAAAATATATTTGTTGTTTTGATGAGAATAAGTAATACTAAAACACTTCTTTCAGTCAGTCTTTCACAAAGCGAAGAAAAAAAAGAGAATTCCTTTAGTGAAATAGGGATCTTGTTGATGTATAGATCTGTTTTTTCGGTAATTAACGACTTTCGATTAACTAATTACGTCATGTTGAAATATTATCTATGGTTTTTGTTTCTCTTCTATCTTTCGTACGCGTACAGAACCCGAACAAACGCATTAATAATTGGAAAGAAAACCTAAACATAAGAAATATATCACAGATGTATTTGAATGGTTGGGATGTTTCGACATGAAAATCAATACTCAATTGTGGCAGATTAACATAGTTTATCATGGTCTGTTATAATCAATGAAATTGAGATACCAAAATTCAAACAGACCAATCTTGAAACATAACTTGTACTATCCAATGAATTCTTATCGATAAAGAATAAACCATCTGGTATTATTATCGAAGTTTGCAGGATGCATGAACGATTATGTGTAACATCAGAGATTTTAAATTCACTTACTTCTCAAGCTTTGTTCTTCGGATATGATTTAGATCCATATCAGTATCCTTCTTATATTCGTGATCCCAAACAATGTTAAATCGTCTTTCGATCCTGTATAGTTGCATAGATATTATCTTCGAATTCAAACACGAATTGATTTACATAAATGTAATGTTCATCTGAAAGAGTGTGCAACACTTATGATTGTTGTGATTGGCCGCAGTAGAACGAAAGAAATTGGATTTGATACTTTGATGAAAGTATTACAAGCAATTGAGAATGAATTTTTAAGAAATAAGACTCTTGTATTATGTATAGCATACATATTTTTGTTGTTCTCCTTTGCATTTGATCTTTTCACTAGACAACTTTGTCTCGCTGAGTTATTTGAATGTTTAACACGTTGTGGTTAATGTAGTTTATAAATCAACACATTGATATTGACAGAAAACTCAAGATCACTGAAATATGAAGATGATAGTGATTATATAGAACTTATCAAAATTGAAGCTAAATGCATGCAAATATTTCTTCATGAAATAAAGTTTTTTCGAAAAAAAAAAATAAGTGGAGAAACTATTAGCGCTCAGATTACCTCTAAATGAGAAACATCGTTTTGAAGCTTTTTCATTTAGGTTCATTTTAGGAACGAAATCATTTTCTTATGGAGTTACAAGGACGAGGTTGTATTCTTGTTCGATCGATGCAATCTCCCAACGGGTTTCCAGTAGATATTGCTTTGACCACCTCGAGACAGCATTGATAAATAATTATCTTCAAGCATTGCTCGATGTTCATCGGATAAATCCTCTTCACTTAATGGTAACTTGTACAAAGGTTCATATAAGCCTTTGGCTATTTCAAAATCAGCTTCACGCCCCGCAAATCGTGACTGGATAATGGCGTGGAAGTGTTTTTGTCTTTCATAATCAGGATCATCACTAGGTGGTAGTCCAATATGTTCTAGAATTTTACCATTAATACAAATCCTCAATGGATATTCAGGATCAGTTCCGTTATGTTTTGCAAGTTCATCAAGTGTATAAAATACATCAGATGGTACATCCGTAATAGATTGATACATGTGAGGTTCCTTTCGAGGAACTACTGATTGCTCCTGTCGTAGTCGATTGATATATTCTGAGCGAACACCATAATATTCACATCCTTTCACAATGATATCGAGATAACGTTCACTTGGCAAATTATCTGACATGTTGGTTACTGTCATTTGATACGCATAGACAGCATGAGATTGATTTTGATAGTCGATAATCGGAACTACGATTCGTTGATAGCTCATTTCCATTTTATCCAAACGATCCATTTGTTCTTCCGAAAGCAAATGGACTACTCCATCAAATTCTGCTTCATGACACGGTTCTAAATCAGCCATACCGCCAGGCCCTCGAAAAACAACACGATGATTAAGACATCTTCCCGGATAGGAGAGAATTGGAGTGAGATTTCGAAGATACAATGAGATTGGATTATTCATACTTCCTATAGCTAGGTACCAGAAAAATGTTCGACCGTCAGGAAGAACGATAGTAGGTTGTTGAGAATTGTCGTATGTAAGGATTGCATCAATCGATGATTGATCAAGTGGTACCAATTTAGAGCGAACAATATCCAATGATAGCTTAAAATTCTGATCACTTAATGAAGAATTTAAACGATGTAGAGCGTTTGCCATTATTTGTAAATATTACGTAGAATGCAACACGTTTTTACACGATACACATGCACTACGGTGAGAAGAAAAAGGTAAAGAAGAGAAAAGTTTATATAGTCTTGGCAAGACAAAAAAATAAAGCGCATGACGATGCAAAATAATCTTCGAACGTTTAAGTACGGTATGAATCGTTCTTTCTGTATGCTATTCGACCTTTTAAAATAGTGAAAATGCTCATTTTACCTCTCTTTTTAATAGAAGTGCACAAAATTTCTTTTTGAGAATAGGCCATGTGAGAGTATGAATGTAGGTATGGAAACCGGGTGAGGTTATATAGTATTCAAAATACCACATTTACACTGTCAAGATGATGTGATATTTATTGAGAGCGACGTTAAATTATTGAATTGCTCGATATGGACTCGGTCGAGCATTATGAAGTTTCATTAATTTTCTCATTTTCCACAGAGGGCAGTCTAGTATTACTTTCATGATACTTTTAGCTACGAAATCGAACTTGTTTTTATTTGTAACGACTAAGAGTATTGTTTTCTATCTATTAAACAATTCATTAAAGATTTCAATCACTCTTTGGCATGACTCTCCTTACAGTCGAGTGAACAATATATATATACATTTGCTAGAATTTAAACAATTATATTAATTTCTTTGGGTATTATCCGGTAAAAAAATATCAAGATTTTCATCATCTTCATAAGGACAATCAGATATTGAGATCAATCTTGATGAAATTTTTACAGTGATAAAAGCCGAAATCGAAATCTTGAAATATATTTATGTAAATAATCATACGGCTCTTCTAGAAAACGAACTGACCATTGTCTATAATCAATAGTTCAATCAATTGGTATACTTGTCATCGAAAGGAGACATTCATCAAAAAGAGAATTTCTATAATATGGAAAAATCTTCAATCCACATATGCAAAATAAGGATTACCAAATCGTAGTGGAATCTCTTACATTGATTGTATTTACTACATGAATTATTCAACGAATTTTTTCTACCAACAATTATCATTTATTGAAGGATTTCTTTTTTGTAATAATAATCTTAAACATTGTTCTAAACATGAACTTGTAAAGTTTTTCTTCAATCTTGCTATATCTTCATAGATTAGAGATGGCTGTTTCGAATAAGAACAAATTCATCTGCATTATCTAAACAATCAGAAAATGCTTGTTTTTCATGATTTACAAATACACTGTCCAGTAAACCCCTCCCCATATTAGAAGCCCCGGGGGGCTTCTAATATGTCTCTGAAAATCGAACCCTTTTTCGAAAAAATCCCCCTACCCCTACAGGAGGCTTTCCCAATAATTTTGCCGTAGACGGGGCTTCTAATATGGGGGGAGCTTCTAATACGGGAGGGGCTTCTATTAAGGGGAGGGGTTTAGGACAACGATAGTCTTCGTCAATTGTATTATTAAAACAATTTATATGTCCATCCCGGATTTCACTCCAATATAAACAAAGATTTTCAAAACCATACGGTTATACATTTAAAATTTGTTGGTGTATAAGGATTATTTGAGTAAAATATTTTAATCTAATTCATATTGACTAAATAATACAAATCGTAGATAGGTACGATTGTTGAAAAGTTCATTCGTTTAAATATCATTCATATTGTTCGATGAGGTGAATGGGTGCAGATCAAGTATATATTTGCTCATTAGTGATTTTTTCCTGCAAGTTCATCAAATGTCGTTATAAAGCAGTGTCATCAATATTTTCATTAACTTTATCCGCAAAATAGAGATTTATTTGAAATGTAGCCATTAAATAGCTTATTAGTACTTAATAAAATAAATCTTTAATGTACAACATCTTTTTTCAACTAAAAAATAACGAATTAAATACTATTCAATGCAGATGTTGATTTTTATTTTTGTACATAGAAAAATCGACTTCCTTTCTGTTAGTTAGACATTTGCATAAGTTGTAACATCATATGCGTATGTGTAGCGATTAGAATGAAATTAAATGTTAACTGATAATTGTATTTTCAAGTAAAATACATAACCAACAGGCTCATATTGTCTTTTGATGTAAGACTAACACAATTATTCTTCTCAAATTTGTGCATAAATTGAAAAACAGACTCCTGAAGCAAAGTACCTTGAAATACTAATACAGTTGAACAGAAGTTGACAGCCAGTATCATAAGATATACTTCATTTTGAAGAAAATTATAAAGTGTCACTCCCAGAATTGCAAAAATAACTATCGAATAATTAAATAAATTGAGTCGTAGTTTGTGATGTTATAAGCAGATACAGAACTCATATTATTTCATGAACTGTATATTCTATCAATAAACATTTTGACAATTATCGATCAAACGAATAGTTTATCATACGAACGCAACATGTGTAATATCAACATTAGTGTTAAAATCGAATGTTGAATTCAAATATTCAACTAATCAGTCCAATAACATTCAAACCTCACATCCGCAATTATTGAAGTAAAAGATGTTCGAATAGATTAGTAAGGTGCACCAAATTCAAAAATCGAGTAAATTTTTTTTTGCTAATTTTTTTACGTAGATCGATAGAGCTCGACGAGCTCTACAAAACCCTATATATGAAAAGAATTTTACAAGCCTTTTAGTAGGTAAAAACATGAGAAAAGATGGTTTTTTCTTATATGTATAAAAATCATGATTTTTTGAGGAATTTCGCTGTTTTACAATGCTTTTATTACGGAAATCACTTGAAAATGGACTCATTCGATCCGCCGTGATAAGTTGCATCTACTGGTAGGAAATTTGATTTGTTCCATGATACATTTATGAGCAAATATTTCAATAACGAAACAGTTTGTCAGAAATCGACTGACTTACACCAAAAATCTATGTAGTCCCGCCTGATACATTATTTACCCAATGTTTTTATATCATTCTGTTCGTCATACTATAGAGAAAAAAGTTACGTATCGGTTTGAAAAAATATTTTGCTACGGTTGAGCAAAGCCATTTTTTCTGAGCACGATTTATATAAAAAAATCGTTTTTCTCTTTTCAGCCAGAAAATTCTAATCTAATAGTTTTACAATTGAATATTCATTGATAAAAGTAAAAAATCATTGTACTAGAAGCGCATTAACAATGTCTAAGTGTAGCTTTGAAAATCTTATGAATTGATTATATGAATAACAATAGGTTATCATAATAACCAAGATCATTATATAATTAGCAGAATGTATTTCTACCACTAAACGATTTCAAAAATGAATTTTATTTCAAAAACATCGAAAAATATGAGGTTAGGAAAAAAGAAATGTGTTCGTACTAGGATTGCTAGTATAAATTACTATTAGTTATTTTCCTATGAGAAATTACTGTTTCAGAACAAGAGTTACTAAAGAACAATTTTAGTACTTCAGAATAAGTTTCACCTTGATTATAAGCAGCAATAACTTTCCAAAAGCGGCGAAATAACTTTAAAAAAATCTTTTTTTCTAGAAAATTTTGTCGTGATTCTGGGATTAATCGCGTCAAAGTTGGAAAGGTTTGATCGGAGTATTTTCGAACGAAAGACTTTTGATGACACCACATCCCCTCTATCGGATTTAATTCACAGTGGAATTTTGGCAGAAATATAACGTGAAAACCGTAATCAAGTGCTAGTTGTTCGAGTTTAGATATCTAAGTGAGCAGAAACAATGAAAATACTCATGAGAGAAAAGTTAATTCTAAACACTCACATTTTGAAATGCCTTGTGACCTAGAAGAAGTGTTTTGATCTCGTCCAATTTAGTACTTGGTGAAACATTAAAACCAAGTTCAAGAGCAATTGTTAGCAACCCTTTGCTTTGTCCTTTATAAGGCCCTGACTTGAAGAAACAATCAATAGTTTTTCTATTATTCATTTCATCCATATACACAATTTCAGAGACTTCACATCGTGTATCAATTCCTTTTCCAAAATCATTTATACTAAAAGGCTTGGCTGTGTGAGTACGTGCATTATCCACCAGTATTTCAATTTTGTGATTTTGATATTCGATTTTAAATTTCAAAAGTTTAAATAATCGTTCAAACTGCTGCAAGATAATGTCATTATCAAAGTAAGGATCGACACCTAAATGAGCAGTAACTGTAGCCGAGTGCTTCATATAACGAAGATCAGTATCATCTAATAGATCTGGATATCGACTTGTGGCATTCGTCCACTCTTTCTCATTGAGATAAAAAAACGGTCCTGATGAATGTTGTACCAGAAAATCAGATATCATCACACTTCTACCTTGACCTTTATTAAAGAATGGAGCTGAACTATCAATTAGCCAACGTTTAGAACGAACATCTCCACTTCTAAATGTGGATTCGTCATGACCTAGGAATACAATTTGATAATCAAGTACTGTTCAAGTCTTTCCGCAAATAGATCATACAGATTAGAATAGTTGGGGTTGTTGTGGTTGGTGCATGCCATTGAGGATCTTCACCTGCACTAACAGAATAATAGTTACTAGCATTGCTAGTAAAATGCTGAAGAAATTGTTGCCGATGCGTTACAACATCTGCACGATCATGACCTTCGAAGTAAGGACGATTCGCATTAGTGTCGAAGCGTGCACCCCACCTTCGCAAATCGAGTCGAGCACTCTCCGCTGATCGTATTAGTTCAAAATTATTTTCGTTAATGTTATTTATTTTACAATACTTCTCATTAATAAATTGGGCTAGTTCCAATGTAGTAAAACTTGCTGCTTTTTGTTCACATTGAGAAACTGCAAATGCTTTGGCTTCATTTTCGATATCTGGATAAACATCGTAAAAACTATTTCCTCGTTTACCACCTCTCCCATCACAAATAAATTCATCAAAGTTTCCATTCATAAAAATATCGGCCCATTTGTGAGCTACTTCAGCTGTTAAGCCTCCAATATGCTTGAGAAATGCATCTACTTCTCCATAGGAAATATTAAAATGACGCAACGTTAAATACATAAGAACACTTAAATATCTTGTATTAGTACTGTTCGCGCAAACTTCAAATATATTTGCTATGTCGCATATTTGAATTCTTTCCTGGATTGGTAATTGATATGAAAATATTTCTTCTTCACTTCCAACTTCCATACAATAAAGACCATCATCATCTGAGGATCGATATTCTTCACACCAACGCTCTTTATTAGCATTTGCACATTGAATTTGTCGTTTTGATTTCGGCGCCATTTATCAAACAAAAGTAGTTTAAATATAGACACAATAATCAAAATTTACAAGAAGCAAAAATACCCAATTGATTTGATTGGTTCGACTAATAATGTATTTCTATACTGTAATTTTTTCATAAACAGAACGCTAACACTACTTTCGTAGTATATATTCGCTTTCTTTTAAAATACTCTATCAAATCTTTCCGTCAGAATTAGAAAACCATAGCTCAATAATGTCAAATAATGATCTTGGTTATTATGATAACCTATTGTTATTCATATAATCAATTCATAAGATTTTCAAAGCTACACTTAGACATTGTTAATGCGCTTCTAGTACAATGATTTTTTACTTTTATCAATGAATATTCAATTGTAAAACTATTAGATTAGAATTTTCTGGCTGAAAAGAGAAAAACGATTTTTTTATATAAATCGTGCTCAGAAAAAATGGCTTTGCTCAACCGTAGCAAAATATTTTTTCAAACCGATACGTAACTTTTTTCTCTATAGTATGACGAACAGAATGATATAAAAACATTGGGTAAATAATGTATCAGGCGGGACTACATAGATTTTTGGTGTAGGTCAGTCAATTTCTGACAAACTGTTTCGTTATTGAAATATTTGCTCATAAATATATCATGGAACATGTCAAATTTCCTATCAGTAGATGCAACTTATCACAGTGGATCGAATGAGTCCATTTTCAAATGATTTCCGTAACAAAACTACTGTAAAACAGCGAAATTCCTCAAAAAAATCATGCTTTTTATACATATAAAAAAAACGATCTTTTCTCATGTTTTTGCCTATAAAAAGGCTTGTAAAATTTTTTTCGTATATAGGGTTTTGTAGAACTCGTCGAGCTCTATCGATCTACGTAAAAAAATTAGCAAAAAAAAATTTACTCGATTTTTGAATTTGGTGCACCTTACTAAAATACGCCATGTGTCATCACTCGTGTTCTCCATCACAGACTTCTTGATTCTCACTCTCAGCAGAGATAATACGACTCAGTTTGGTTCAGTTTTTTCCTAAGTTATTGCAATTTATATTAGTATACAGAAATGCAAAGCGAAAGTGACGAATCAGCAGATAGCATACATAGAAAAACTGCTCACAAGCTTGCCCTGGAGTCGTGAACGGTATTAATTTTCAATATTCATCTGCAAAATATAAAGGAAAAGTTCTCAAATCAGTTAAACAGAGTCAAGATGAAGTATTTTGATGTTTTTCGAGCAATTTGGTTTATCTTCTGCTGTTTTTGACTTTCACACATATATCTTAATAATTTTTGTTTTCACTTTTACACGCCATATGCTGGACTGATCTTAGCATTCAGTTGCTTTTGAAATCTGACAGCAAAGTGAAAAAGCTAGTTATGTTTCTTATCTGGTAGTCGAACGTTTAGTTTTTCAAAAGCAACTGAATTTCACGTGCAACTTCGACATATATGTGGATGCAATAACTGTCAGTAATCTAGAAGAAAATAATCAAGGTCAGACAAAGATTATATACGTTAACTATCGATAACTAAACTCGACACTCTCCCGGCTCGGTTCTGTTCAGTCAAAATTTCGAGAAATCCAAATCATATCCGTCTCTGACTCTCAATTTGCATGATCAGTGTGAAACTAGCATGGCGAATCGGTGTGTTAGCTAATTCAGAATTTAATTCTGTATCGAATCGTGATACTTTTATTTATGAGGCAAACTTTGGGAAAATTCTATTTAGAGTTTTGTCTTCGATATAGAAAAACAATTAAGATGTTGGTAAAAGTTTTCCAAAGCTTTTCCGTGAATAAAAGTATCACCATTCGATGTAGAATTAAACTCTGAGTCGAATGGACTAGTTCTCATGAACGGCAGTTATTTAGTAAAAAAGGTTTTAGCTATCACATTGTTTTGCCGTGCCAGCTTCATATTGATATTCACATGATGTTCCACTCATGTATAACAAAAGGTACTAAATCCTTTCATACATGCCACAAGATCTATGAATGATCAAATGCAGTTATTGTCGTATATGTAATAATAGAAAGCTGAAGTCAACTATTTAAGTGTAATAAATGGAAAGAACCGCAAGTTGTTGAAAGCGCTATGTATTAAAGTATAAAATAATTGAATTCATCTGCCGATTTTCGTACTATTGATGGTTATAAAGTTTTCCAAGAATTTCCTAAAGCTCTTTTTCCTTCTTCAACTATAATAGAAAGAAAAATGTTGTTCACTTAATGTGAACCACTTCACTCCATTTTCTTGAAAGAAATCGCTGATTTTGGCGGCATATGACATATATAGCTCTTGCCATTTCAGACTATATAACACCGAAAACGATCAATAATAATAATTTTATACATCTTCCCAAATTAAATAATATGCATAATGATTTTCCACAGTCGACTTCATCTGCTCTCCAAATCAAGACTGGCTCTTGGTCTATTTCTATGCAGTATTCTTATAAATCTCTATCAGTTTTTATATCAATCATCGAATTGTTCTTATTTATGCTCATATAAATCCATTCTGGGTAAAAATCAACTTACGTTTGACAACTCCCACAATGTGCCACACTATTCCGAATTCATTTGCCCACAAAACTTCCGAAATCTGGCTGATTGGGTTTATGGTTGGCCCGAAGATGTATTTGAAGAAAGACTAGAAATTACTACCGATAAAGGATACCATATTGGTCCATGTCTAGTATCTGGTAGTATAATTTATGTCAAAACTGATTATTTGGAGAAGTTTTTTAGCAAGGTGTATCCGTATTTGAACAATCAGTTTGTACTTATCACAGGACAAAGTGATGCATCATCGCCTGGTCGATATCTATCTTATCTAGACACGCACGATTCTAAAATTATTCATTGGTTTGGTCAGAACTCCGAAATCTATGCGTCACAAAATGGCAAATTTACTCCAATTCCTATTGGTAAGGTAAATGCACTGCCGACAGGCAATCTATCTTATTTTTAGGATAAAATATACAGACGTACAAAAGTATAAACAAAAAGCTTTATTGTAAGACAGATCTGACTGAGATTGTAATAGTCCGTATTTATCAATCGACCTATTCCTTGAGAAGTTACGTAATAAGAGTGGATGAGCATATGTAAATTAGTGGACTTAAAAAGTCCGCGACACGTCGCCGCGTGTATTAAATAGTACAACTGATGAATAGAGAGCATCGAAAGAAAAGCAAGGGGGAAACAGCAGACTCCAGACCCGTGGATTCGAGTGGATTCAAGTGGAGTCAGGTGGAGTCACATGGAGTCACATGGAGTCAGGTGGAGTCAGATGGAATCAGGTGGAGTCAAGTGGAGTCACATGGAGTCACATGGAGTCCTGGAGTCTGCTGTCTCCCCCTTGAAGAAAAGGCATCAATAGCGTCTGTTTTGGTGCAGAATGGCCAATCAATAATATTTCGCTGTTGACAAATATTGTATTACTGAAATATATCTGTTGTGCATAAAATATACTTGTCATCGTATAGTATCTTATAACATGCGTTCTATTGCAGGAATCAATTGTTATGAAATGGGTAGAGCTCTTCAATATGTTCGTGTACAGAATTCTAGTTCTGCTTTGTCATCTCTATTCAATAGTACAGATTCAATTGAATACTACTCGTCTCCTGTTGTTTTATCACAAAGCTCCACTCAGCATACTAAAACTCAACTGTTGCTGATAAATTTTCAACGTGAGACCGATCCAACTGGCATTCGTTCACGTATTTGGGAAGTATTTTGTGATCGTGCAACTAGATCTAATTTTATAAAATGCATTAATAAGTCCCAAGGAGTGGATATTTCTGTATTGCCAACTATATACACTCGGAATCGTCAACATCCATTCTGGCTTTCTCCTCGTGGTAACGGATTAGACTGCCATCGAACGTGGGAAGCACTCTATTTAGATGTTATTCCAATCGTATGGAATTCCTCATTGAACTCTTTGTATGTTAATTTGCCTATAATAGTCATCAATGACTACAGTGAAATTACTGAAAAATTTCTGCTTACCAAGTTGAGAGAAATAGTCTTTCAAAAACGAAACAAGTGGCCCATTCATCGATATGAAAAGCTGAAATTTGGCTATTGGCGGCGTCTCATCTTGAGTAAATCCAGACATGCAATAAGAACAATAAACCGAGAAAATCAATGTTGGCGTGCTAAACGCACCAGAAATGGGCATGGCTATTAGATCATTTATTAATCATAGTTTGATGTTGGCAAACTGTTCCTTAGAGTATGCATTTGATTTGTGAAATCCTCAGAAAAAAAAACTTGTTTTTTGTATAAATTCTAACTCTGACTTGAAGTCGTTTTATAAAAAAGGTTGATCAACTATTGGAATGTAATCAAATAGATGTACGTGTGTCTCCCTGATGGTTCTAGCTAACAAAACGATTGTTCCCCCCCCCCCCTCCAATTCATTAATGTTACATTGTTAACCACCCATTTCTAAGGCTAGGACGTGATTTCAGGCTGATTAAATACTGTCAGTGCATATTCTTCGATTCGTGCAGTTTAACGGCAGGTGCTAGAAGACAACTTCTTGTAACCAGGAATAAATTTTCTTTTAGACGATTGATGATGCCAGCAGGCACACTAATTTTGTTCTGAATAGTTATTGGAGTTGAAGTAAAACTATTTCAAAGCTCTACTTCAAGAATCATCGTTATAGAAAGTGACAACTTTGGTTCTTCATCAAGAAAAGAAATACTCTCACCTTTCGGCAACTGTCTTCGCCATTTTTAAGTGAATTCAGGACTTTTTTCGAAGCCCGACTTTTTCTTATAACTATTTCTAATTATAGCATTAGTTAGACGACCTATCTTAATCCAGAGTTCTCTCCGCTTAGTCACTTAAAGGAAGATCAATGGCAGGACATCCCTATGACACCAACAGATTCGTTTTCGATTTTTATTTTCTGAAACGGAGCATCTTGTCGAACGGTGCTTAAATTCAGAACATCAAGTCATTTGCTTGAGTTAATAAGAAGTGCAAGCAAAAATATATTTTTTTGGCCTTTAAGACCTGCATTTTTAGAGTGCACTAGGTGTTTTAACATCACTTCATGATTGGGGTGATTGCTAGGACTCGGCAACGTCTCATTCGAAAGAAAACAGATCGGAATTTAAGTTCATCAAACATAAGTGTCAAACATCTGCAATATATGAGATCACCGAGGTGAAAAGCTTTTGAAAATTCGGCAATCCGTACTGCTCGAAACATTGATACTTTGCGATATTTTTCCATTCAGCCTGGCGCCTAATGCTGTTTCTCTACCAGAAATAGATCTTGATAAAATGTCTCTTTTGACATAAAATTATATGGATTAAAATAGTGTGGAAAGGGGGTGGCAATTGTCCTCTATCAAACTAGGCTGAGCTTTACCAGGCAGCCATTAATTCAGCTCACGAACTTCATTAAAAAGTTTTCTGATCGAAAAAGTAATATCAGATTTGAAATCAGTATGAAAAACTGAGTTGGAAAGCCTTTTGTGCTTGATGTATCGGCGTTAATTAGCATAATCACAGCAGGGTCTTTGTTATATACAAAAACATAAGTATGTGACCGGTCGTTTCTCAGTAACACGAGCTACCAACCATCATTTTTCAATTCATTGATAACTATTATTCACGGTAATAGAAATCGGTTTTATCTGCAGCTTGAAATTCATAATTAGCTCTTATATAAATAGAACCAATCGCTGCTTAACGCTGATATGTCGGTTTTCGGACCACGGAGTCGGGTGAAAACTAGTTTAAAAGTTAACTTAAAGGAAAGACAGAGTACAACCATACGTGTTTCAGAGAATTCAGGCATAGCTTTTTTTGCTATAAGAAATCGGCCGTGCCTCTACTTTAGGTTTAGCGGAAGAATGATTTCTCATTAAATCACTTCATTCTTCGTTTAAAATAGAATATTTCACGTTTCTTACTTATTCTCAACATCAACCATTGACAATTCAAACCTTAACCCTTTACGACCGGATGGTGCCGTTTGATATCATCGTATGACTGTTTGATTTATAAGTTCTCTCTAGCGAATAACTAACATTATTCTAATACAACGATAATTGGGAGCATATGTTTCGCAATGTATTTGCCTTTTATTAGCGATAAATATACTTCGCTTTCAGAACATAGCTCTATAAGCCCGAGTCGACGTGAAAAGAACATATACTCATAGTCGTAACTTTTCTGATTACCCGTTGACATACAATGCACTAGCTTTCCATATTAAAAATTTTAACACTAAATAGGCTATCTATATCACTATCAAGAACGATCTTTTAGCCATAAGCTGTCCTCTAACAAACTGAACGTTACCTTTTGGTACTATCCGGTCGTAAGGGATCAAAGAATTAGAAAAAAATCAATTTTTTTCCACGTTTGACGTTCAATATTTTAGCGTTCGTTTAGTTCCATATCCCCATAGAAAGTCACTCTTTAACTACCTATCAGTCTCTTATAACTTGCAGCTGAGACATGTCCCATCTTGACGGTGGGTGTGCACTTTAAAAAAAAAAGGAGTTTTACCAAACCAAAAAAGGATCTTCCCACCGATACACGGGACGATCCTTTTTTGGTTAAGTAAAATGAAGGTTCCGAAGAGAACCTTACAGGAAAAACTGAGAACAAAGGTTCCGCAGCAAAGGTTTAGTACGAAACTTTTTTTCTTCAAAAGACAGAAGGTTCCGTATCATAGGTACCGTACGGAACCAGGGTGTGGGTGAGGGTGTTCGGAATGAGTGGTACGAAACGTAGTTCACCCCTTTCGAACGTCCACACACCTTCGCCCACCCTTTCATCGTGACACGAACGTGGAAGTAGGTTCTAGCCAGTTCAGTAGATCCATTCCGATCAACTCTAAACAAGAAAGACGACAGAATATGGTATATTAAATATTATCACTTACCTAGTTGAATACCAGGCTATCGAGAATTTTCCGTCGATAGATTTCCATCGATATAGTGACGACTAGTGAGAAAAACTAGAAATAAATAGAAAATGAAAAATGCATGGATATTTATAGGGTCTCACCGGACGGTCTATTGAAAACTGGACGTCCGCCGAGATCAATGGACGTAAGTGACGACCAGTGAGAAAAACTAGAAATAAATAGAAAATGAAAAATGCATGGATATTTATAGGGTCTCATCGGACGGTCTATTGAAAACTGGACGTCGGCTGGTGTAAAGGGCTATGTCTTTGAATGAGTCTTCTCCTTTTCCTAACTGAACCAACGGCAGATATCAATGGTTTGGTAGAGGATTCGCCGAACGGGAACAATAATTATGAGATCATTAATTGTTTTGCGGAACTTATAAGTAACTACTCACCAGTACAAAAATATATTTGTGTATACGAGTAAATTATGGGAAACCTTGAGCCGCTATATGAAAGTAGGGATAGTTTGGTACAAATACTGCCAAGCTTTCATTCATTCGACGGAGTAGATAATGATTTCCGAAAGGTTATACTGAACTAATCAGAGGCATACAGAACTCGTCATAGTTTTGTGTATATTTGTCAAACCTCTGACTAATATACAAAGCCAGCAGCAGTTCGGCAGGAATTCTGCCGAATCTTGCGCGAGAAAAAATAGACCGATCTTAGTTTCGTCTAAATTTCATCAAATCATGAATAATTACACGGAATCGCTGATGATTTCGAAGAACTTCTGCCGAACAGTGACTCGTTCTACGAGTTTTTTGATAGTCTTGAATAAATCCTACTGAACTTGCGATTACTGTTCGAAGCTTTTGATATTTCCGCAGAAGTTTCTCTGAGCTATTGATAGTTTTGCAAAGCTGTTAACAAATCATGAGTGAGCTCACGAGAACCTTGGGCGATTTTGCTAGAAATCTGGACAACCTTAAGCCAAAGTACGACATTAATGATGGTTCTGCAGAGGTTATGCACAACGTCTTTGTAGTACATGAAAGTATGTACCGTTCTGTGTAACGAAAACGAAACCTTTATACGAGCTGCTGAATTCTAGATAGTTTTATGCTAAAGGTACGGAACCGTTTCGGA